GGCTGGAAAACGCAGCAAGGCTGGAACTGTCTCTGAGGGGTATCAAAGGCTTTTATGACAACCGGGAGCTTTAGATCTGTTTTGATTTCTTCTGGAATATGTTTATAGGTTGAACTGAAGTGGTTATTTACGCAGGAGTCGTTGAGCCGGGGCTTTGCAGGGTGCTCTGCAGACAGGCCTGTTAGATAGTCACAGCTGTGGCCTTCGCGGTCCACCTGTGGCTTCTCCCTTGGGGTTTAGTAGTTGTTAACGATTTTTTCCCCTTCTGCAAGACACGTGAACTTTCTCAGTCTCTGGTGATTTTGTGCATCTGAAGGAAAACGTCATTCTGACAATGAAATTTTTCAATTCAAAATTGAATTTCATACCGTTGCATCTCTTACTAGCTTGTTTGTTTGTTTGTTTTTAATAAGAAAATATCTGTTGTGGTGTATGAGGAACAAAGTGTGAGTTCTCAACCTCATTTTCCCAAGCTGATGAGCTGTGCTAGATGTTCTGGAGAGAAAACTGGACATCGATACCAGAGTTAGAGGTGGCCTATGTTTAAGTTTCCCAGTTGTGGAGTTACTTAAGCAGAAAAAAAAATAAAAATCGTGTTGTATGTTCTGCTTGTAATCACTTGCTTCATGTCTATGTTGCTATTTTCTAGGAATGATTTTGGAGGCATATCATCTCCCCATGATGCAGAGTTGGCCAGACCTGTACGGAAGCAAAGTTCTCAGAAAAGAGTTTCTAGTATCCTTTTTCTGTAAAGATACAGATAATCTTCTAATCTACAGATATCTTCTCTTTAATCATTGCTTGCTGTGTTCGCAAGGTGTGTGCATTTTTACCACTGCTTTGATTTTGAGTGTGTTGAGAATGGTTTTCAAACATACAGCAAGTTAGTCTTTGTTTTATACCCTTTTAAAGTGAGGAATGTATAAATATAATGTGAAGTTGTTATCTGATTTGTGGGGTATTCTGTAGTCAAAATTTTGCTATTGGACTGTCTCTTATTTTCCCCTTCTGTAGTTGATTTTCTTTCCTATGTGGTATTTTCGTGCATTAAGAAGGAGAAAAGTTCAAAACCAAAACTATGGTTGCAATATCTACAAACTAGTAGGGAAGGATGTTAATGACTGACTGAAAGTGTGACTAGGAAATCTAGATGAGTTTGATTTAGAAAAATACGGCGTTTTCAGCAACACAGTACATTAGTTGGCCTTTACAGAACTTAAGCACAAGCCAAAAGATGCAGTTCCTTGCCTTTTCCCATAATAGTATGTCCTCTGAATGGAATTTTCTCTCTCCCCGCCTTTTCCCACCATTGTAGTCTCAAACAATATCAAAGTTTAGTGATGGCTCAGAACAGATTATTCACTAGACTTAAGGGAAAGTAAGGGATTGTTGAAATACTTGTGTAGTCAATTCTTTACTATATTTAGATTGATTCTTTTGGTTGTGGGTTAAATATGATTGCAGGAATGTTGCACTGCGTATCTCCTAAACTTGTGCCATCACATTCGTGTAGCGTGGTGGTTTACAGTTTTTCATGGGCTTATGAACTCAGGTTGACGTCAGCCCAGAGAACTGTGTGAGCCACAGCTGACTTTGTTCCTGAGTTTTTGAGAAAATGAAGTTTTCTTCACTTCCTTATGTCTTAATTTTCTGTTTTATGCTCTTTTGCATGTATTGTGTTATCAGAGTATTGTGATTCCTCAGTGTATCTTCGCTTTCCATCTACAGTATTAACAAGAGGAATGCACAAACATAGATTTAAATTTCCACAGAATTTTCTTCCCCTGCTTATTTACAATAAGAAGAAAAACCCATGTACTTCGACAGCTAGTGTAACAGTATTTTTCTGGTTATGAAAGCAAAGGAATCCTGTACATTTGCTTAGCCTTCTTTTTATTGCAAGCAAAATCAGACTACTGGGATATTGTCCCTGATTCTGTTGTTCCTAAGAAGCATGATGTTCTTGGACACTGATATAACGTAAGATACTGAAACTTTTACACAACTGCTTCTTAGTAAACAATACCTACAACACTGAACCTAGTTGCTAGCAGGAAGAGCCAAAGTAGAGGAACAGTCTAAAGTCATCTGCATCCTGAAACCAAGAGAGAACATTTTTTAGATGCGTTCAGTCTCAGATTTTATTGTTATGGTTTATGTACCAAAAAGCAGCTCCTCATCGGGCAGCTCGTCTAAGCAGTTGTGAGGAGTCTCAGACCTGTTGTGCTCAGGTTTCTGAATTTTGCTTTGCAGTGTCCCTTTTAGCCATCTGAACTTTTAAGCTTGTAGTGAAATATTTTGTGACCTAACTCAGGCTTATGAATGGGACTTTCTGCTTTAGTCTGAAAGACAAGATGTGTAATCTTTATAATATTTGAGCTACAGCAAAGTGTTTTTCCTTTCCAAGTGTTCACAATTGTTTTAAATAGAGCTGAAAGTGTGTTTAGGTGAGTGTTTCTTAACTCATTTATTAATCAGTTTTTACATCCCTGGATGACACTATTGGGAACATGACACCCAGAGGACAGTTGATTTCCCGAACTCCTAACTCATTGCTTCGCCAGCCAGGTAAGGCTACTTTCTTTCTTTAGTATTTAGTTAAAAGAATGATACACTTCGACTTCATAATTGATAACAATTCATAACGAGAAAGACGTGGATGTACTGTGGTGGGTCTAGTGAAGGGCTGCAAAGTTGATCAGGGAATGGAAGCATCTGATGTAAGAGGAGAGACTGAGAAGAACTGGGATTGTTTAGCC